TAGATGAAGGAATGATGTTCAGAGAGGTTAAAATCACTTGCCCAAAGATACACTTTTAGTAACAGGCAGACCAGAATTTAAATCCAAGTAGTTGGATTCCATTGCTTATATTCTTTAAATAAAAATCCAGTGAAAGATGCCTTTATTAATAAAAAATATAATAAATTGGGCATATGGAATTGGCATACTTTGGAAAGTTACAGTTGCAAACACACCAGGCATTTGTGCTGTATATAGAAATACGTTTCATTATGAATTTTATGTATTAAGAAAATTAATTTATCTATGTCTCAGCTTCCACACTAACCAGTGTGGAATGACAGTGAATGTCATTATCTTCCTTTACACATATAAATTGGTACAAAATGTTGAATAGATATTTATACTATGCCCTATTAACTGCCACTACCTATTAATTATGTTCTGTGAATTAACAATAAATGTAACTGGGTTAAAATCATAAAACTACATACATTTAAAATTGTGAATTAAGTCTGAAGTTGTACTTGAACAATCCACGAAAGAGCTAAGTGCATATGCTGAACAGCAATGCCATCAACTCCTGCTGGAAAAACATAAGCAGTCTAACAATCTGTCTTTATTTACTATTTGACAGTGACAGGTACAAACATCATTTATAACTCTTAATAGGCCTACATGTGTACAGTTACCTCTTTTAACCTATTTCTATATAAATACCTTATATCTGGGTCCCAATTACATTACAATTAAGTTTCTAAAACTTTTTCTACTTCTTAAAAACAATTATTGTTGGTACTTAAGGAATATTTTTTAATGTAATTTTGTCAACTACCAGGGTTTTAATATGATAGGAACTATGCATGGTCTCCCAGATGTATAAATGAAACTACTGTTCTAAACAACAAATGCTCACTGAGCTTGCATCTAATTCCTGGTTGGCTATACTCGCAGTTAATACACTCCGGAGCAGAATTGAATGTTAAACTTTGACATTTTTCTTTGTTGTGGCCTCTCCATACCATTTGCTTTCTGATTCCAAAAGACAAAATGAAGCAGTTTAACAATTATTTCAACAAGTAGCTTTATCATGGAGACACCAATATTGGTCCTTTTCTTTCTTTCAAGTCACAGGTCATGTCTGGACCTAGTTTCTTCTCCTGTAAAATTAAGTATCCTCTGGAGCTTCTTCTATCATATTCATCCATAAACATATTATTAAAGTCTTACTAAATGTATCTTTAGCATTGTGGGGGATTAAAAGCCCTAGACTTTGCCCTCAAGGAGCTAAAGGGTTGTACTTTGGGGAGGTTTGGTAGTTTTAGTATGATCACATGAGCTTTCAGGACTTGTTGATCAAATGAATGACTGGTCAGTTGAAAATGCCAGGTCCTAGAAAGAGAGGACCAGCAGAGATTTTCTGCCTGAAAGAAATCTGTAAAAAATTCCAGTGGCATTTTTCCAGATGTAGACTGAGAGTTGATATAGGTATGCAGAGCAATGCACAGGAAATCTACTTAGATTCTAGACTTGTTCTACAGTGTGATTAGAAATATGAAATTTCTGCTCCACATAGGTGGGAGGGAGAAAAAAAAATCCCAAACTGAGTTGCTACTACAATTTTTTTTTAAGGGAGGAAAGAGGGAAGAGTAGGAAGACCATTTATTCATGAAGCTTTGTATCAATTAATATCATTGATTGATATTCAACTAATAAATAAGTGATATGACTCTAAAAGCTGTTACCCCTGGACAGATAATGTCTGAGTCCCCTCCCTACCTTCATCATTATTTCCTCACCTTCTGGAATTCTCCTCAACATCTACAAAAGCAGAGTGGGGCAGAGGGCCCCTAGGATACTGTTGAAGCATCAAAGCAGAATTTGATCAGTGGTCACTTCTCAATGTTGTTAAATATTTTGAATAGAAATGCTCATTTCCTCTTGTGTGTATATATACATATCAGGTCATGATATAAAATATATTCCTGTGAATTATAATTTTTAAAAGTTTGAAGGCCACTGTTCTATGGCCAATATTAGTATAGGAAGGAATTCTCTGGGAAAAAACCATCCTAAGGCTGAGGATTTTGTTGAATTTATACTTACTTCTGTGGCAAATAATACTGGCTTTCTACTTACCATGGTGATATCAACTTCATTAAAAGTAAATTGGTTTAAAGGAAAACATTAAACCATAGTATAGATGGTATATAGCTTACATTAGGAAAGTGGGGTAAGAAAGACTGTAATTTTGGAATTATCTAGCTAAACCTTTTATTATGTACGTAAAATGTTCCTGCCTGAGAAGTGATTAATTTAGGTCACCTGCTCCAGGTTTCTTCAACCAGGAAAGAGTAACTCTTATCACAGGGACTAGAAGTGTCCATTTCCTACAAACTATTTTGCTATGGGCCCACTCATCTTTCCTAAAAATTATTTATTCTCCCCTAAGAGGTCTACATCCCCTCACCCCTTTCTCTACTCAGATAACATTTATGTCTGATTTCTAAGCCGCTTTGGGAAGTTATTCATTTTTCCCTGGGTATCTCACATGTATACTTGGGGCATACATGTTAAAAAAATTGTTTTTATCTTGTTAATTTGTGTTTTATTGGCGAGGGGTGTCCAGCTAAGAACTCAGAAGGATAGAGGAAAAATTATTTTTCTTTCCCTACACTATATGTTGTGAATTACCAGTATTAGCACTTACCTATAGGACACAATATTTAGGACACTTTGTAGATCCATTCTGAATGGATAAACATTCTTTCTTTAGAGCCAGTGACACTGCCCCTCTGAAGCAGGTTTTGTAAGGTAAGAAAAACTACAAGGAATGCCCCAATTCATAAGACTGCAAAAATGTCTTCCTTCATTCATCGTAGTGAATTGGGAGAAAAAAGAAAAAGACTGGGGGATGGACAGTATCTATTTCAAAAGACGCACTTTTGGACCCTATATTGTATATGGTGGAGTAGAAAAGCGGCTTATTTAAGGATCTTAGGCTCATTTTTAAAGAAGGGGAAGATAATACTATTTCATTCTTTATTTGAATTGCTTTGTCTTGCTGCACTGCTCGCTTTGTCATCAGCCCAATGTTGCAATTACTTTAACAAGCAAAGGAAATGCCAGTCAAGCGCAGCACCTGGGATTTCCTCACCCTTGTAACATGTCAGGCCTCAAGCAGGAGACAAAAAATACTCAAGGCTGTATGTGGAACCCAGGTGAAAAAGGAGTTGGTGGCTGTGAACCTGGGTGTGTAACGGCGCCTACTCCCCAGAGCCAATGTTTACATTAGCGATTGATTTCTACCTTTGGTACGTTTAATCAGGCGCTTATTATATTGCATGGCATCATCCTGACTTCAGGACTTAGCAGGAAAGCTGGGGCCAGGAGACTGCTCAAGTGCATTTGACAATTAAATGCTTTGTGCAGCCAGATGTGAATTCCACCTGCCCAGGAGCTTATTCTGTGACTAGGCCTGACCCAAATGAAGCTAGGCTTTCCTTCACCTCCAGAATCTTGTGAGCCCCAGAGAGTGAGAAGTCCGATAACCACGCAGGCTATTCGGCAAAACCCCAACGCAACCTTTGAGGGCGGGTCATTGCTCTTCTCCAGCCAGCTAGAGACAACAAATAAAATGGAAGATCCTTCTCTGTGGGAAAGCAGGCCTCAGATTTGAAATGAGGGGCCTGAGGGAGGGAGGTGAGCAAAGAAAGGAAAGGTGAAGGCGCTGCTCCAAGAAGCCGGGTTCATTCAAACCCGGAGGACAGCAAACCCCGCCTCCACACGCCTCCGCCCGCTCAATCGCCGAGCGCTCCGGGTGTGAGCTCGCCCCGCGGGGAGCGGCTTGGAGCGGAGGAGGCGGTGGCAGAGGTGGTTTGGGCAGCCCCGAGCGGCGGATAGGCCCAGGCAAACAACACCCATTCCCCCTCCCCCTCGCGCAGTTCAACTCCCACTCCGGCCCCGGCCACGCCCTGAACGCCACCGCCCCCTCGGGCAGCTTTCCGCTCGGCAGCCGGGCCTCGGTCGGGGCGGGAGGGAAGGCGTGCCTTGAAGGGGCCGCCGCGGCCACCGGAAACTACAAGGGCCGACAGGCTTTGCGGCAGCGCCCTGCCTCCTTTCTCCCACCACTCAGCGCGCGTCACCCAGGGCCTCAACCAATAGGGAGAGAGCCAGGGAAAAAGGGCGCCCGGGTCCGGATGCGCCTCAGGAAAGCCATGCTCCCTGCGCGGGGCCAGCGGGCAGTTCACCGGGTGCGCCGAGTCGTCGGTAGTTCGCTCATCCCCTCGTCCGCTCCTCTCGCTTCCCTTGAACAATAGCCCTACATTTTTCTTTAGTGGCAGTTCTGAGGGATGCTGGAGCCGGCTTTTGAGGGGAGGGCGCTGGGAAATGAGTAGGGGGCGGGATATCCTGGGACAACAAGTTTGGCTGTATGGAGGGCCTACCGGCAGCGCGCCTGAGCTAGAACGTTGAGAGAAAGAGCGCCGGAGGAGCCACGGGAGGAAAAG